ACGTTAGGGGTTTGAAGTTTTGAACTCTAGTTTCCAAGTCGGAGATTTCAAGTTCAAATCTTATGATCGAAGAGTAAACCATCATTTCCTATTATAGGTTCATATGAAAATGTACCGGTTTATTTCTGTGTATAAATTGAACATTTAAATTTGGCTAAACAATTTATTATCCATTATCAGTTATGTCCCATTGTATTATAACTTGTAGATAGTTCATAGTATTACATTTAAAAAAATACAATTCACATGTAAATCGCCCATCTAATAAAAACTAGTAATAAATATGCACCTAATTCTTGTAATTTGTATTTTTTTATTAATATATATGGTTTAGGTGACAGATTCATCAATTTTATTTCTGTGTTTGTTTCTCGATTGTTACCCTTGATGTTCAACCCCTTTGCAGAAAGGGGAAGCTTTCAAAGCATTGTTTCATGTGAATGCTCACAACCAACTCGAGGTTTGTGGTTGCTTTTGTTTGTTTTATGACAAAACTCACATGATAAATCTTGTATGCTGACATGGGAGTCTGTGATATACCGCTAGGCATATTGCAAAATCGATGGGGTACCTACGGATGTTCTTGTCAGTGGAATTTCTTCACAGAATAGAGCTGTAAGTATGAGATTCTCAGGGTTTATGTTCTTTATGTTATTGCAAATGCTAATGTTTCTTTATATGTAGGCTAGCCTATTAGTCTATATTGGGATGAATCTAATAATTGCCAATATATTTATCCTTTCTTATAGGTTGAGGGAGATACTGTGGTTATTAAGGTTGATCCCTTAGGATTGTGGACCAAGATGAAAGGGTCAAATGGGTCCTCAAACAATTCTACGGTGGTAGAAGATTGTAACATAGTCCAAGAAGTCAATGGGGTAGCTGGTAATAGCTACAAGAGTAAACGTATAGTAGATGCAGATTGTGAGTATGTTAACAGTAGAAGTGGAGTGCCACTTGAGAAAGGGGTTTATAATGAAACTCAAGTGACCAAAGCAGAAGCGTACAACCATGTTAATGGGCATAACCAATATGGTTCAGAGTCTTTGCATGTGGGTCGTTTACTGGGCAGAATGAACACAAAAATTCAGTGGATACGTTGGCTGCTATTACTAGTCGATACCCTCTGAGACGGCCTACTGCAAAGGTTGTTGCAATTGTTGAAAAGTCTGTTCGACGTGATGCTATTGTTGGCTTTCTTAATGTTAAGCAGTGGTTTCGAGAACTTAATAGAAAAGATGCACAGAAAAATTCTGCTATTTTTGACAATGAGTATGTTACTTTGACCCCAACTGATCCAAGATTTCCCAAAATGATCGTTTTTGTGAGAGACTTACCAGACTGTATACAGAAAAGGTTGGTAGGTGGTGATGTGACAGTTGAGATGGAGTTGCTTGCTGCCCAAATTGAAGATTGGAGTGCTGACAGTCCTTTTCCACGAGCTCATGTCTCTCGTTCTTTTGGACGGGGCAGTGAATTGGAAACACAAATCAATGCAATTCTATATCAAAATGCAATTCATTGTACTGATTTTCCTCCTCAAGTTCTATCTTGTCTTCCAAGTGTTCCTTGGGAAATCCCGTCGAAGGGATTTCGAATTCGAAAAGACCTTAGAGATTTGTGTGTGTTTACTATTGACCCTACCACCGCATCCGACCTTGATGATGCTTTATCTATTGAAAAGTTATCCAAGGACACTTTTAGAGTAGGTGTACACATTGCAGATGTGTCATACTTTGTGTTACCAAACACAGCCTTAGATGTAGAAGCTCGGATTCGATCAACCAGCGTGTACTTATTGCAAAGGAAGATACAGATGTTGCCATCTTTGCTTTCAGAAGAGCTTGGCTCCCTAAATCCTGGAGTTGATAGGTTTGCCTTTTCTATGTTTTGGGAATTAAACAAAATGGGAGATGTTTTGGATCGTTGGATTGGCCGTACAGTGATAAGGTCTTGTTGTAAGCTGTCATATAAGCATGCACAAGACATCATTCAAAGGGTAACTGATCTGGAGAAATCTAATACTTTAGAAGGATTACCACAGTTGCATGGAAAATTTGAATGGGCTGATGTTATTAGATCTGTTACATGTCTTCATGAAATTTCAAAAACTTTGAAGGAGAAAAGATTTAGCAGTGGTGCTCTACAACTTGAAAGCACTAAAGTTGTTTACCTAGTTGATGAAGATGGGGTTCCATATGATAGCAGTCTAAGTGAGCGTATGGATTCAAATTTTCTTGTTGAGGAGTTCATGCTTTTGGCAAATGTGACAGCTGCAGAAGTAATATCTAGAGCTTTTCCCCATAGTGCATTATTGCGAAGACATCCTGAACCTAACATGAGGAAGCTTAAAGAGTTTGAAGCTTTTTGCCGCAAACATGGTATAGCATTGGATACTTCCTCATCTAGTCAGCTTAACCAATCTTTGGAAAAATTAAGGGAAAAACTCAAGGATGATTCTGTTCTTTTTGATATTCTCATCTCATATGCTTCAAAATCAATGCAATTGGCTAGTTACTTTTGCAGCGGAGACTTAAAAGAGAATTTAAATGATTGGGGTCATTATGGGTTGGCTGTTCCTCTCTATACACATTTCACTTCACCTCTACGTCGCTATCCAGACATCGTTGTACATCGGACATTGGCTGCAGTAATTGAAGCTGAGGCGTTATATATGAAGCATAGAAAGGCACTTAAAGGTAACAATGGGGAGGAAGTGTCTAGAAAGTGTTTCTCTGGTATTTATTTTGATAAGGAAGCTGCAGAGTCTCCACAAGGGAAGGATGCCTTGTCAAATGCTGCATTGAAGCATGGAATTCCTTCCCCTGAACTACTTGGTGATGTTGCTGCATATTGTAATGAGAGAAAGCTGGCCAGTAGGCATGCCGAGGATGCCTGTGAGAAACTCTATATGTGGGTTTTGCTGAAGAAATGCAAGGTATGCCTATTACTTTTCTTGTTTATGCCTTTTCCTTTATATGTGGGTTTCGGTCCATACGGTAATGCTTCCCTAGTTATGATAATTTCTATTACTGTTCAATTCTTAAAGTCTATGTTTGCTTGTTTTCACGTGTGTTTTGACTACTTAAGAAAATGGTCCTGCTTTAAACATCCCGAGTGTAATGTTCCTAGAAATTAAGTTATTACTGATTGTTTGGCATCTATTACCATTACATATCACTTTTGCTGTATAGAAATGTTTTCTTTTGCCTTAATCTTGTAGTTAAACATATGAAGATGTGGATGTTTAGTGATTGTTTCCTTTTATGCTTATTCGATTTTGTTGTGGTTGAGATTGCCCTTGTGACTGATGTTTTTCCCCCTCCTTTTGTTTGTTTTCTCAGATTTTGTTGTCTGATGCTAGAGTATTGGGATTGGGCCCAAGATTTATGTCTGTTTATATTCAGAAACTGGCGGTAAGTGATTTATTTTGTTTTCGTATAATTCCATCAAACTGTACATGGTTTTGGTGCTCATGTTTCTGCACTTTCAGATTGAGAGGAGAATACACTATGATGAAGTTGAAGGGTTAACTGTAGAATGGCTGGAGTCTACCTCTACGCTGGTGCTCAGTTTATCTGGCCACAAACGTTTGTTCAAGAGAGGTGGCCCTGGGAATTACATGTCTCTTGGAAACGCTGCATGGGTCGTGAATCCTTACGATCTAAGTATGGAAACAGATAGTATCGATGAATGTGATGCAACATGCACATTGAAGGGTGAGGCAGAGCCATCCTCAAAGTCGGGGGTTGATCCCGGAACTTTTCCTCTAACCGTGCGTATGCTTTCAACAATTCCTGTGGTGCTGTATGCAATTGGTGGTGATGATGGACCCCTTGAGATTGGGGTACGCTTATACATGAGTTCCTATTTGAAGTAACTCGTGTTTTAGACAAGGGCAGCTAAGTAGTATTGAAGGAGCTGTGAGGTAGACAGAACCTTGTACGGAATGAAGAGGTTCTGTTGTGGACAAGGAAGTAGTGTATAGCTTAAGTGGTGTAGATATAACGGTGTGGATTGGGATCAGGTGGTTTGGTTTTGGGTTTTTGAAGAAGCCGTGTGTTTGTGGGGGTTTATAACTAAATAGCTGCTCTTTGGGAATTGGCCCGTGTTTTTATCGGCCAGTTCCAACTAATGTTTTTCCTTTAGTAACTAAAAAGCATTCGAGACCGAGCTTAGGAATCGGTTGAATGCTTGTATTTGCTGGACTGCAGCCCGAATGGCTTTTTTGAAGTTTGGGTGGCTCATTTGCTTTGTTTCCAGATTCTTTGTTTTTTTGTTTTTAAAGTTTTAATCAGACATTGTTATGACTTTCTTTTCTTGAATGACGCTTTCACTTCTCTCGGATAGTGTTTATACATATATAATCATGTTCCAATAATTATATATTTTTCTTTCATAAAATCAATGATATAAATAAGAAAATAACTTAATTGATACTAGATTGTATTGAGAAAATATTTTATACAAAATACATTTTCATTAAAATTTATTTAAGTAAATAATTTATCGGTGTGAGAACTGACTTGTTTTTAAATTTAACAGTTTAAATTTTATGTTTAATTTTCAGGTAATAATTTTAAATTTATTTAATTTTAAATTATATAACAAAGTAAAAGGATAATTTTACTATTTTTTTTAATTGAGTGCTAATGAATTTCGTATGAATTAGGATACAGTTTATCGTAAATAACAACGTGAAACGAAAATAGGAACTCATGTATAAGCGTACATGTATAAATTATCAAGCGTACTTGATGTTGAGGATAATCTACTATTTTACCTCCCCTTACTTCATGCATATGAAAAAAAAGGACAACCATATATTTAAGAACGAGGTTTAAATTCAAATCGAGTTTCAATTATTGTGAAGTTTAAAAATTTTAGTATAACAAGTGCTCGAATCAAATTTAATTTTAAAATTTTAAAATCGAATCCAACTAAAATATACTCGAACTCCAGTTAACTACTTTACCATCCTAAACACCGTAGTATAACAAAAGAACATCTGAATCTGGAAAACTCAGTGCCCTAACTGAATATTCGGCAAATCCAAACCTCGATTAAAGAAAATGAAGGTTTGAACTTACTTAATCTCAAGCATAACTGACAAGGGTGAGAAGCAATGACATCGTGTTACGGACCGTTGATCGATCTCTCAGAAGCTTCTCATCATATGGGTCACTTCGTCCAGCTTCTGGTTTTCGTTCACCGCTCCACTCCTGTTCAGGTTTCTCTAATCTCTCCCTCTGTTCAACTGTGTGGGTCTGTGTTTTTTCCTTTTTTTTCTTCAATAACTGTGATTTCTAACATCTCCGTGTGTTCCGTGTGGGTGAAACGAAAGTATAAATTATCTAAAGGAGGAGAAATAATCAAGACGGACATTCAGGTGGGCGATGACACTCAATCCCTTTTCTCCGTCTCCTTATGGAAAAAAGAACTGCGATCAATCGCTGCTGCAGGCGACATCGTCTTATTGCGAAGTACACTGACTAGTTTAAATTCTTAGTCTTTTATTTATTTCACTATTAATTCCGTTTAAATTTGTGATACTCTATATTTGTGCTTTAATCTCAGATGTCAAGATTACAAAATTCCGAGATGTTTTCGAGGCCAGAAGTGATGACTGGTCATCTTTACACTGTCTAGTCCACCCTTACCAGTCCCTTGTTTCAAAGAGTATGACTGAAGTTTCTTGTTTGAATATAATGGTGTTTTATTCATTTATATATATATGTGTGTGTGTGATATTTAATAAGAGTGTGATTTCAGTTGTTAAACAATAGAAGCTCGTTAACTAAGTGGAGCCTTGTGTTCATACTTTGTTGTAGGTGCAATTGAATTAGTAGCAGAGTGTAAAATGGGGATAGTGGTCAAAGAAAAGCTTTCCAAGGTTATAGAATGGGTGCGGAGGACCGGATATTATGCTATTGAGAATGTTGACCCATATGATCATCAAGTATTCGTTTCTCTCTTCTATAATTTTATACTAAAGTCTCATGTTTTTCTTGCATTTGCTATTTGAGGAACTTGAAAATAACTCTTTCATCATGATTTTCAATTTTGGTAATCTACCCTTCGTTATCATATATTTTGTGATGTCTTGTTGTGAATTACGTCATCTTGCTAAAATTGCTCATGCTTGAATAGAAGTGAATGTTTGCCCTATTTTATGCATCTTGCTATTGAATTTGTTTGCTTTGGGATAAATTTTTTGCTTGTTTTTAAAACTCGTCTGATAAAGTGTACCAAATTAGATTACCATGCCTTTTCCCGTTGCTTATTTATCTTTTTGGTCTATAGGTTCTAGCGTATTGCTGTTATTTAATCCATGTTTGACTATATTTGTTGTAAATGTTTTCAATAATATATATGTTTGATTTCACTTCAGAAGAGGCGACTATCCAGAAATTGGAAAGTGCCAGAACCAAATAAATGGAGAGAATGTCCCTCACTTTCAGAAGTTTTGTGCCTGAACAGTAACTGTAAGGCGATATTTAGTGCTTCTGTTGGAGAGATTTTTCTGCCGATTACATGGAGGCGCATTGGAGAATCTGAAAATGAAAATATGTTTATTAGCAGGAGATTATATACATCAGCAGGCAATGGTTTAGCTGAAGATCTTATATGCACTGGTTGCCAGCTATGTGGTTCCCCTTTGCATCAAGAGCACGGGTATGGTAAATATCCTCAAATTTTCTTGCATGGCTTTTACTGTTATGAACGGATAGGATTTCAATGGCCATATACTTTCTAGCAGGTCTATATTTGGGAGAGTTCCACTCTATTGTGAGAAAAGCTCGGATCGCCTTCATGCAGTCAACTTGATATATAGGCCTTTTATGGTATTGATTTCTTCTTGAACTTATTTGGCTGATCACCTTATATCACTCAAAGAGTGGAACTATCTCATGTTTTCTGCTGAAATGGCCAAGGATAGTTTCTATTGAAAGAAGATTTATATTATTCAATGCATATTATTTGTGAATATATCTTCATCTGCACATAAAAAGGTAATTGTTTAGAATGATGCATATGACTTGTATGATTATTTCAGCATTTGCAAACCAAAGTTGCAAATAATGTAATTTGAATTTTATTTCTGCAAATATATGTGGTCTAGTCTGCAACTTCATTTGTTATTTCATGAATCCGAAGTCTGTTGAACAAACAAATTCTGTTCTGTTTAATATTTCTCTGTGCTTTACACTCCAAAGCTCTTTGTAACTTGTAGTTACCTTTCCATCTATGATCATATATATATAATGAACCTCTTTTGCGTTGGTGTCTTGCATATTTTTTTTGGGTATATTTTCTTGTATCCAACCCATTGACTGACTAATCCGGATCGGGTTCTATAGAAACCCATTATGGTGGTGACCATTCCAACTCAATCTCTAAACCAACTAGTTGTGTTTCTCTCTTTTATCAGTTTTGTTGTTTATTTTCCCCAGTTCTAGGAAATGGTTAAAGATTTATCAGTTTTTTTTTTAAATCGTTCTTTATGCATCTTCGAGTTTCATTTTTCAATAGTGGAAGATAGCACTGAATTTTTTCATTACCTGCATCTTTGTCTTTGGTATTTTCCCCATCTTCAAGTTATCATAATTCATTAGGATTGCTTTCTTGAATTTGCTTTCCTTTAGATTATTTTATTGTCTTTGGTTGCAGTTATATTTATGGGATGAATATGAACACATGCCGGTACTGGTAAAAAACAATGCTGCAGAGAGATTGTTTGGAAGCATCAAGGCCGAAAGAGTTTTCTTGTGCTATAGAGAGTCCAAGTGTGATAAAACCCTCAATCCGGGTTGTGTTGCTAAGAACAGTCAGCGCGGTTGTGGCACAAGAACCCACGATTCTCCAAAAGCTGCTGGGACAAGTCATTCGGAGTATTGCTCATCAGATGCACACGAGAGGCAGGCAAATGGGCAGAACCTAAAAAGCATAAATGTTTTTCAAATTTGGTTAGTTGTTCTTAAAATGCTGTTGCAGCAAGGAAAAAACAGTCCAATGAAGTTTGAAGTTGCTGTAAATGCCAGCCTTGATGTAGAAAATGGGAGATTCGAAATGCTATCTGTTTCAACCCCTTGTTTTAAAAATAGTCCTTGGAATGAATTGAATGTTTGAATACGGGGATTAAATGTTCTTATTCCTAATTGCCATGGATGATGAATGCAAAGCTAAACATTAAATTGTATGGGAGGCAATCTTCAAGTGGTTAAATACAGCAGCATAGAGAAGGGAAACACATAATCAAAGACCAGGAGCCAACCCAGAGGCTAAAGATTTATTTGTTCGAAAAACGCACCATGGGTTTGAACCCTTGGAAAAAGCAAATTAAAGTATAGAAGATTTGAGGCAAAACTTGAGAAATGTTAACAAGTACAGACACTGCGTTTCCTCTTGTTGCTCTGCAGGCCCTTTACAGATGTAGATTTTAACGGGGCCGTTAGTAGGTCCAATGTCTATTTATTTAAGCCCATAAAAAAATATGTCAAGACCGCAGAGCCGGAGGAGCACCGAGTCAAAAAATAAAAACGAAGGTCGGGGAAGAATCCGGTGAAGCGCCAGAACACCATCACCACCGTGATGCCAGTCTTGCATCGCCCTCAATTCTTGATTCCATTGACGCCTCTTCTCAATCCCTGGACCTCATCAAACTCTTCGAGGTTCCTTTCTTGTTCTCCATATTTACAGCACCATAGAATTAATCGCAAATTGGAAAAAGTTTTTAATTCCTTCTTTTTTTTGTTTATTTTTATGTTTTGTTCTAGCAAAATTATATTGCTTGAATCAAGTTGAGTTGTTGAAAATGTCTAAAAACTTTTAGCAATTTATCCAAGGCCTCGGAATCTAATGTAAACCTCTCAATGTCTGATTTCCAGAGGGAAATTTTCTAAAATTTATTAGGGCATTTTTTTCTTCCTTTAACATGTTAAAACCGTGACGGTAGCTTTTCTTATTGCTGATGCTCCCCTTAACATTTTCTCCTCACATAATCACCCATGTTTTAAAGCATCGGCCATTTCAGTTCAAACACGATTATACAACCAAGTTTTGTTCATTACTGCCTTTTGATTTTAGCTACTTTTGTAGCTTTGATTATCATATGGGATAGCTTATACATCTTCATGATTTGTGCCTGTAAGTGCTGAATTGAACACATTCCATATGTTTTTCTTTTTTTTTCTTGGAAAGCTTGTTTCTTTGCCGTGTCAATTGTTTCGTTGTTTCATTCAGGAAAACTTAGAGAAATTGAATGAGGCACTCACGGGTTCAGATCATTCATGGACAGCTCTAACTTTAGAGGTAATTATATAATCTCTTTTAAAGCATGTGTAAAACAGTTTTCAATTTGATTGATTGCAGTTGTTCTTTTTGCAAAGCATTTGTAGAACAACTTTGCATTGATTATTTTCAATTGTTTCTGTTGCAACTTACGTCATATATGCGCACGGGAATCTGTCAGCCTGGGCTGCAATTTTACTTGTTTCTTTAGCTAGAAACACTTCTTCAATTTGGGCATCAATTCTTTGATTTTAGCTCTTGTTCAAGAATCCCCCCTCCTCAGTTTTGTTTAGTTAATATCTATTCAAGAAGTTTTCACCACTCGAACTCAGCCGTGACTGTTGAATATGAAAACATGTCTGACATGAGTATTTTCAATTCTGTTACATTTCTTCGTGTATCTGGATATGGATATGTTTCTTATGTGGATGTGGAAAGTTCAAAAAAGCTGAGGAGTCAGACCATTGTAGATTTTCAATCATTCTGTTAACAAACTTCCCTTTGGTTATTCCAGCCGTGCACTGCTCTGGAAACTGCAAACAGGTTGGTTCAGTCCACCGACACAAATGTTTGATTGCTGTCAACCAAGGTGGGGGAACTTGAGAGGATTATCAAGGGGGAAGATTCTGCGGTCACAGCAGCCAGAGGCATCTCAGTCTCTCTAAAGCAAGGAGGATCATCTGTAGCTACTCAAAACTGAGAAATATCCGGATCTCGTTAAGAACATATAGTCGTAGGCCCTTGGTACTGAGTAGGGATGAGCACGGGAATTCGAATCCAACGGGTTTTCGATTGGATCGGGTTTTTTATTAAAAAATTTGGGTTCGGGTCTGGTCGAGTTTTTAAAAGTATAAGTTAGGATTGTGTTCAGGTTTAGGGTGAAAAATATCTAATCTGATCAAACCCGAAAAATAATATAATTATACTTTATATATTTGAAGATAAGTGCAATAATACTCATCTTTATATTATTGCTTAATTAACTCCCTATTTTATTGAATAAAATTAATAATTTTATATTATTTCGAGTCGGAATTGGGTTTTATCTCAAAAGTTAGGTCAAGCTTTGAGTCGGTGACATTACTCTGAACTTGGGGTTGAATTTCGGATGGAAGGTATAAAATTTCTTTGGTCTGGTCGGGTTAATCGGAAACCCGACCCAACCCATGTACATTCCTACTTGGGAGGCAGTTTATATATTGGAAAAGGTCCCAGAAAAGGATCCTGTAAGAAGAAATTCCGACCCATTTTCAAATGTACTTTAGGGTTCATTTGCATTGTGCATTGTTTGTTGATGGGCGTAGCAATTTGTGGTAAAGCCTGCTAGCCCCATTGCTACAACGTGACTTCTAATGAATACATTAGCCAATTAATTGAACTTTGTTCCGAGTGCACAATGACCAACATATTGAAATAATATTTCAGTGTTATTTATTTGTTCTACAATTAAACTATTATTAAATATAAATTCAACCCAGATCGATTCTAACTACAAAAAATCATATTGAAAAAATATCTTAGGGTGGAGCAAAGACATTATATTCCCATCAGAGCCCCCATTTTACAGCTCTAGCTTCCCATTAATCTAAGCCCCACCTTAATCATCAGTGAGTCAGATCTAATCACCCACGCTTCATAAGTACATTAATACTATATTTAACATTCAATATAAACAACCATGTGCTTAACCACCTTTAACAGTTCCCCAAAATCTTATAGTCAGAGGGATTTTACTTTTACCTTCTAAAACTCCGTAACTTTTAGAATCTATCAAAAAAATGGATGTCTTTTGTTCCCATATGTAATAGATTAGGGGAGGTAAGATAGTAGGTTGCCCCCAATACTATATTGAGAACAGCTTCCGTTGGAGACCTCCAAATTATGAAATGCCCTCCATGGGACTCAATCATACGACCTCAAGGTTAAGAACCTTGTGCTTTACCAATCGAGCTGGATGATCATTTTGACTAATGCCTCTAACTAGATATCATATGCTTAAATTTAATAACCTTAATTACGGTTAAAATTTTGACTCACTCATCACTGGTAACGAGAGATGTTTTCTTTTTTCCAATTCTCAAATTAAAATTTGTAAATGCATAGGGGAACTGCAATTGATTTAAGGAGTGCTTAATCGTATTATAGAAATAAAGAGACAATATTACTTGAAATTATCGCTCCACGTGGAAGACAAAGGAACGGTCTGCTGACATGTAGGGAAAAAAACTTTAGCTTAAACTATCAGTCTAACCACATAGTTTAATTAGCTAAATAATCAAGTTAATTAGAGGTTTCGCTGTCAGCTTTGTTGCAATTTGCATTAATAATCTTACAAGTAATGACAACAAATTGATTGATGAGTTAAAGAAAAATTTGAACAAAAATTACAGAATGAAGGATTTAGATGACTTGAAATTTTTCCTTGGATAGGAAGTGATGAGATCTCAAGAAGGGATTATTTTGAATCAAATAAAATATGTTTTGGAGTTAATAACTGATACTGTTTTGGGAAAAACTAAATGTGCTTTAACTCCATTAAAGCAAAATTTGAAGCTTACATCTGCCGAGTTTGATGAAGGGGTGAAGAAGGAATATGTTGATGCTTTGTTAGTTGATAAAACAATCTTTCAGAGGTTAATAGGGAGGTTCATATACCTCACTCATACAAGGCCTGATATAACATTTGCAGTACATCATCTCAGCCAATTTATGCAAAAACCCAAAGAAAGGTACATGGATGCTGCACTTAGAATTGTAAGATGCATCAAGAAGGATCCAGGAAAGGGTCTGCTGTTCAAGGCTGCAAGTAATGACAAGATTGTAGCCTATTGTGATGCTGATTGGGATGCTTGTCCCATGTCAAGGAAGTTTGTCACAGAGTTTTGCATCAAGATTGGGGATTCTCTTGTTTCTTGGAAATCAAAGAAGCAGAATACAGAAGCATGGCCATGACAGCTTCTGAACCAATTTGGTTGAAAGGTTTGCTTGAAGAAATTGGCAATAAAGTTGAACCAGCTCTATTGTTTTGTGACAATAAAGCATCTTTACAAATTGCTGATAATCCAGTGTATCATGAGCGCACCAAACACATTGAAATATATTGTCATTTTATAAGAGAAAAGATTCAAGGACTTATACAAACTGAGTTTATGCCATCTGCTGAACAGCTTGCAGATATTGTGACAAAAGCTTTAAGTTTACAGCTGCATTATAAACTTTCTTTCAAATTGGGAATGAAAAATATTTTCCTTCCTCCAACTTGAGGGGGGAGTGTTGAGATTAGTAGTTAGTTTGTTACTTAACTGTTTGTAAATTGGTTAGTTAGTTAGTTGCTTAGCTTTGTATATGTCGTAACCGGTTTTCGTCCGGGCACGAAATATTATACTTGACGGGGAAATTGATGTGAATAAATAGTTTTAAAAATAATTTGGGAGTCGCCATCGGCCTTTTGGGTTAGGTAGGTCGAATACCTAAAAATTATTTTCTTTAAAAGAGTTTTAAGAAAACATCAATTAAAAAAAATGAACTGATCTGCGTTTATAACCAAAAATTCATTCTTTTTAATAATAAAAAGGGATTCGTGGTCGGTTACGTTTAGGGAAGGATTAGCACCCCTACAACGCCCAAAATTGGTACTTTTTAATTATAAATTGTCTCTATTATTAAAATTTTAAAAATTCAAAAATATATTTAATTTATAATCCTATTATTTAAAAATTATATAAAAAAATATTTATTTATTTAAAAATATCAGAAAAGAACTTCTAGGTGCCTTAAGACAACTCTTTTCTTTGATATTGATAAATATTAATTTAAATAATATTGTTTAATTTTAAAATACCATAATAGGACATCCAGTTGTATTAAGACTGTCCTTTTCTTCGATATTAAATATTAAAAAATTTAATTACTATTTATTATATATATATTTATGAATACATAAAAATATTTAAAAATATAAACAAGTAAAATTAAAACAATAAAAATACAACTAGAACGATATATTTAAAATCAGTAAAATAAATGAAAACATTTAAAATAAATGACTAAATTATAGTAAAAATAAAATTAAAAACCTAATTCATAATTAATCAAAATATTAAGGATTAAACATGCTATTTCTTTATTTTATTTATTTAGTGACTAAAATAAAATTATCTAAAATTCGAATATCATATTAAAATAAATTAAAAATATAAACTAGGGATTAAAAAATTATTTATTAAAATTAAGGGATCAAATCTGTTATTTATCCTAAATATATTATTTTAATAAAAAGGACTAAAATAAATAAAATTAAAATTTCGAGATCAAATTAAAAGTATTATGAATTCGATTTAGTGACTAGAATGTAAAGTTTACAAGTTGGAATGGCTTCGGACGGGGTTTAACTATTATCTAATTACGCGCATAGTCCTTCTCGAAACGACGTCGTTCGGGAAGGCCTATAAAAGGTCCAAAACCGGCTGGCCCTTTCAAATTTTTCTTTCTCTCTCAAGCAGAGAGAGAGCTCTGGCTTCTCTCTAGCTTCCCTCATCGGAGGGAAGCCGATCACCGGACGGCAACCGTCTGCCGCCGTGACCGTCACCGCCGGCCACCGCATCCGGTGGTCGGAAAATTTTATTTTTATACTATTGGGTAGATCGGACCGTCCTAAGGACGGTTCCGGCGTTATTTTCTCCTAAATATCTCCCAATCGGAGCAAATCCAAAGAAATACCTTCGGTATTTTCGAAGGTTTTGGTGAGATCCGGTGGTCAGGGCTTCCTCGGTAAGTTTCTCTTCTTCCTTTTTCTTTCTTTTCTGTTTCTTTGCTGCTGAGATCGTTGGTAGTAGTTTTTTTTTATCTTGTTTTTCTGTTTTTCTCTCCTCTCCGTGTATCTTTTTTTTTTTGTCTCTGTGTTTGTGTTTCTGTCTCCGTCCCCTTCTCTTGCAGGTTCGGGTGGTGGCTTTTATAGCCATCACCGGTGTGGTCATCGAACCGGTCCGAAGAGTGAGTTTCGGTGAGTCACCAAACTTGTGGTGACTCACCCTTGAGCATTGACGTGTGGAGGGCAGCTGGGTCTTCTGGAGGCTTCATCGACGAGGGGCGTGGTACTGTAGTGTCGGCAGCATCTGGTTGAACCATCTGGCTTGGGAGGCGTCGGCAGAGGCGGCTGCTGAGATCTCTTGGAGCGGTGGCGGCAGCAGAGGCGGCTAGGGTTAGAGAACCCTAACTGAAACCCTAAATGTTTTAGGGTTTCAGTTTGGTTTGGGCTGGCATTTGGGCTTGTAATTTAATATTATTTATATATGTATTTAATATATTTAATAATAATAATGATAATGATAATAATAATAATAATAATAATATTATAGTAATAATAATAATTATAATAATAATAATAATATATTATAATATGGGTAAAAAATTAGTATCTTCAGCTGCCCCTCTTTGCTCATTCTTGTGTTAAATAAAATAGGGCAAAGATGAAAAGATAATAATTTTTTTTAATCATTTGGCTTCACTTGATCATAAAGGAGATATTGAATAAATTATTCTCTTTCTTTCAAATGAGTTTCTCATTATGAACTTTTCGCTGGGGATGATGTTGACCTCTTTCTTTCTGTGATAGAGTCATTCAAAAGGTTGAATAAGCTCTTGATGAGTTCTTCTCATTATGAACTTTCTCTAGAAAGGCTGATGCTAATCTATCTCCTTCTGTGATAGAATTATGCAAAAAGTTGAACAAGTTCTTTTTATTATGAACTTATTCTTCCTTCTTCAGATGAGTTCTTCTCATTATGAACTTCTCTGGAAAAGCTGCTCCATCAAGTGATGGATTTGAGCAAAAGGTTGAACAAATTCTTCTCATTATGAACTTCTTCTTCATAACGAGTTCTTCTCATTATGAACTCTACCTAGCAATGTTGATCCATCAAATGATGAATTCAAACAAAAAGTTGAACAAATTCTTCTCATTATGAACTTCTTCTTCCTTCTTCAGATGAGTTCTTCTCATTATGAACTTTCTCTGGAAAAGCTGATCCATCAAGTAATAGATTTGAGCAAAAGGTTGAACAAATTCTTCTCATTATGAACTTCTTCTTCCTTCTTCAGATGAGTTCTTCTCATTATGAACTTTCTCTGGAAAAGATAATCCATCAATTGATGAATTTAGGTAAAAGGTTGAACAAGTTCTTCTCATTATGAACTTCTGCTTCCTTCTTCAGATGAGTTCTTCTCATTATGAACTTTCTCTGGAAAAGATAATCCATCAAATGATGGATTTGAGTCTTTGCTAAAATCTTTGAAATTCCTGTTAAGAATTCAACATAGATGAAAATGAATGAAAATGCACCTATTTTTGTAAACACCTAAAATATGATGCATGAATGTTAAGTTATTTGATTTCAGATTGGTGAATTGAGTATTTCTTTAATTGTAAAAACCCAATAGATCTTTCTTCTTCAAATCAGAGAATCTATCATCTTTGACAAATGTAGATATAATGTCACAAAACCTCTTGAGAATAAAACTCAATAGTATAGGCTCTTGAAAAGCTTGCATTCAGGCAACATGTTGATTCTGATAACAACTCATCTGATTATGAAGTGACCTTTCAAGATGATTTCACAGATATCGATAGTTCTTCTAATACCGAGAAATCTTGAATTCTGATTCTGATGAGGAGAATAAACTGTTATACTTGACAAAAATGGGATTCTCAGAGGCTGAAACTTCAAATAGCCCTGGAGAAATGTGGTCCATATTCATCAATTGCAAAATTGATAGATTTTATATGTGCTGCTCAAATGACTAAAGATGCTGATGCACTTCTTCCGGTAAAAGATGGGAAGCCATTATGTGATGATCCCAATTACAAGAAAAGGCGAAACCTGGGCTATGATTTTTGGGAAAATAATAAACCGAAGAAGCTTGAAAAGAAGCTTCTTAATGAAGACGATCATGCAGTTCATCTTTTAATTCCAATGATTGGTTCTGTAGTTTCTACCAAACCAGATCAGATAACTCAACGAACACTTCCAGAAGATGCTATTGAGTCTCCTTATTTCTACTATGAGTAAATTCATCTTCCAAATTCAATGATTTGTTCTGTCCAACCAGATTAGATAACTCAAAGAACACTTCCAGAAGATGCTATGAGCACATTCATCTTCCAAATTCAATGATTGGTTTACCAAACTAGATCAGATAACTCAAAGAACACTTCCAGAAGATGCTATTGGCAAATTCATCTTCCAAATTCAATGATTGGTTTACCAAACCAGATCAGATAACTCAAAGAACACTTCCAGAAGATGCTATGAGCAAATTCATCTTCCAAATTCAATGATTGGTTTACCAAACCAGATCAGATAACTCAAAGAACACTTCCAGAAGATGCTATTGGCAAATTCATCTTCCAAATTCAATGATTGGTTCTGCCAAACCAGATCAGATAACTCAAAGAACACTTCCAGAAGATGCTATGAGCACATTCATCTTCTAAATTCAATGATTGGTTCTGCCAAACCAGATCAGATAACTCAAAGAACACTTCCAGAAGATGCTATTGGCAAATTCATCTTTTAAATTCAATGATTGGTTCTGCCAAACCAGATCAGATAACTCAAAGAACACTTCCAGAAGATGCTATGAGCACATTCATCTTCTAAATTCAATGATTGGTTCTGCCAAACCAGATCAGATAACTCAAAGAACACTTCCAGAAGATGCTATGAGCACATTCATCTTCTAAATTCAATGATTGGTTCTGCCAAACCAGATCAGATAACTCAAAGAACACTTCCAGAAGATGCTATGAGCACATTCATCTTCTAAATTCAATGATTGGTTCTGCCAAACCAGATCAGATAACTCAAAGAACACTTCCAGAAGATGCTATTGGCAAATTCATCTTTTAAATTCGATGATTGGTTCTGTCCAACCAAATCAGATAACTCAAAGAA